CGTGCTATTTAATTTTGAAGTAGTAATGATGTGGGGATAGGGTTCTACATATCTTATGGTGATTGATTTATAATAAATCATGCAGAAAACAGTCTGCATGATTTCAAATTTTTTTAAAAAAATAAGTATTGGTAATGATTTTTATATTGATTATAATGATTACATCATGTCAAAACTGATCAAATTGCATAAATCAAAAATGTACATTTTATTGTACTTCAATTTTACCTCAATAAGCTATGAAAAAAAAAAGTACACAGCCTAGAGCTCATACACACACACCAAACAAACAGTATACAAAATAAATAAGCCCAGTGTTTTAAGAGGTCAGATTTACCAGCTCTTTTCAATAAAAAACACAAAAGAACATAACATAATAGGAAACTGCATTATGTAAGTACAAAGATAATAAAAGTAGCTAGCTGTTTTATGATTTGAGCTTCTGTTATGTATTACGGGAATAGAACAAGGGAAATGTATTTTTCCTGGGTGAGATAAAAAAGAACAGACAATACTATGATTTGGTATCTTAATTTTTATACAACAGGTGAGAGAAATGAAGTCAATTCTTAGCTTAAAGAGGAAAATGCAGGGATGCAACACAATTTTATTTGTCTGGATTCTGGAAACCAATATTGCTTTGAAGGTTTACTGTGACCACTGAAATTTAAACCAAAAAGTGGCACCATTGATTCTACCATGCTTAACATAAAAAAAAAAAAAAAATGCTGCCATAACTGATATGCAGACTGGAATGTTGCTAATCACTAATGATTTCTTTTTTATTTTCCTTTAGGAAGATCAAACTTAGTTCATTTATTATATGTAGAACAGCATTACTAGTCCAAACTATCCAAAAGTATATCATCATCTGGGTTAGATAAACCTAAATGCCATTCAAATTGCCAAATTTCATTACATTATATGATTAACATTTTGGCAAAGGTTTCCTGTGAAAAAAACTATTCATACTGGATTGTCTCCCATTCAGACATAATTAACTCAAGATGAATGAGTTTTAAATGAAGACAAATTTAAAACACTGCCATCCAACTAACCAAAAGGAGATGGTGAAGGAAATATCCCAAAGCTCATTAAGGCTAAATTAAGGCTTTATAGTCACTAAAGACGGAGATCCAACATCTGAATCTCCTCTGGGCCTATGAATATCAGCATATTCCATTCCTAGAAATAGACTCTTTGGAAAAACTTGGCTAGGTTTAAATGGCAGCTCCTGCAAAAGGAAGCTTTGGAGGTAATTCAAAAGTTATAAATCAATTCTTGCCTTTGGTTCCTATCTCCTTCAGATACATAGAATTACAGATGTCTATAAATAAAAACATAGATTAGCAAATTCAATGCAATGCTACAGACATCTATTAAATATGGCACAATAAGACCAACTGAAATATACCTGTACACAGACTTATGGGTCAGAACTACTAAACTACCTTAGAGGTTTCTCAGCATCAGCACTATTAACAATTTGTATTGGATACATTATTTGTTTTAGGAAGCTTTCCTTGCATTTTCAGATGTCTCTGGCATAGATTCACCGCTACCCCAATTGTGACAATGAAAAATGTCTCTAGATATACCCAGACATCCTTAAGAGGATAAATTGCTCCTGATAGAAAAGCAATAATCGAGAAATTTTTAGTCCATTGGACCACCCTGAACAAAGTCCTTTAAGTCCAGAACCAATTGGACTACCAAAGTCATACCCATATGGGAGAACCAGCCACTGGAAACACATACAATATCTAATCACGCACATCAACATTATGTTGCCCATACACATGGCTATCTAATCAACCATCCCTTTAAAAAAGTGTCTGGAACACAAGAGCCAACCAAGAATGGTCAGTTATCATATTTACTATAACTCCTGGTTCCATTCTCTAACCCAGCATGGAACTGAAATAGCCATAAAGAAACGGAATGATTAATAGTAATAAAAAAAACTCTTGATATTTATCATTAGTGAAACTTAAATTATTTGCCACTCACACCAGTATCTCCCTCAATAACTTCTACATAGCTAGCTGATCTAATGTTCTTTAACTACTTACAAACTAAAACGGTTAAATCTACCTTCTCCTTTAGCTGAGCTTCTAATCACAAAGGAATGAGGAAGTTAAAAAAAAAAGAATTTAATTAATACCTTGCTCTTCTTTTCATCAAAATATGTGGAAAAGATTTTTTTTAAATTTGTTCTAATTAGTTATAAATGAGAGTAGAATGTGTTTTGACATGTCATTCATAAATGGAGGATAACTTCTCATTCTTCTGGTTGTACATGATATAGAATCACTCTGGTTGTGCAATCAATCATACATGCATATAGAGTAATAATGTCCGGTTCATTCTACTACCCCTGTAACCCCTCCCCTGCCTGCATTCTCCTCTGTCTAATCCAAAGTACCTCTATTCTTCCCTAGCCCCTATGCCAGTTTATTGTGAATTAGCATCTGCATATCAGAGAAAACATTCAGCTTTTGCTTCTTTGAGATTGGCTTATTTTGTTTAACATAATATTTTCCAGCTCCATCCATTTACCAGCAAATGCCATAATTTCATTCTTCTTTATGGCTGAATAATATTCCATTGTATGTATACACCACAATTTCTTTATACATTCATCTGCTGACGGGCACCTAAGTTGGTTCCACAATTTAGCTATTGTGAGTTGAGCTACACTGATATGGCTGTGTCACTTTAGTGTACTGATTTTAAGTCCTTTGGGTATATGCCAAGGAATGGGATAATTGGGTCAAATGGTGGTTCCATTCCAAGTTTTCTGAGGAATCTCCATACTGCTTTCCAGAGTGATTGCACCAATTTGAATTCCCATCAGCAATGTATGAGTGTACATTTTCCCCACATCCTTGCCAATATTTATTGTTTCTTGTATTCTTGATAACTGTCATTCTGACTGGATTGAGATAAAATCTCAGTGTAGCTTTGATTTGCATTTCTCTAACTGCAAATGTTGAACATTTTTTCATATATTTGTTGATCAATTATATTTCTTCTTCTGTGAAGTGTCTATTCAATTCCTTAGTCTGTTTATTGATGAGGTTATTTGGGTATTTTTTTTTTATTGATTTTTTTGAGTTCCTTATATATCCTAGAGATTAATGCTCTATCTGAAATGCATGTGGTAAAGATTTTCTCCCAATCTGCAGGCTCTCTCTTCAACATGATTGATATTTTTTTTTCTGTGAAGAAGCTTTTTAATTTGATTCCATCCTATTTATTGATCTTTTATTTTACTTCTTGCACTTTAGGAGTTTTGTTAAGGAAATCAGTTCCTAAACCAATATGCTAAAGATTGGGCCTACTTTTTATTTTATTTGGCAAAGGTCTCTGTTCTAGTACCTAAGTCCTTGAAGGATTTTTGAATAACATAAATTTATGGAAGAGGAGCATATTCTATTCCTATTTCTATCTTCTTTGACCTTAACAGGTAGAAAAGCAGTTTATACTGCTAAGGTTAAGGACACTAAGATATAAATAAATTTGGTAATAGATTGTTTTATGTGATTCTAAGATCATCATCCTCTGTCCCCATTGATAATGTACGGTGACAAAATGGGAATTCCTGAGGAACTCATCCCTCTGAAAAAGGATGCTCTAGAGTATACCAAAATGGGATTAATAGAATAATGTGATATGAATTTACTCAACCATGAGAACAAGATGGGAAAAAGTATGATGGGGCAATGACAAACTCTCTTTTTTAAAAATTCTGACATGAACAAATATCCTTGCACAACTGTCTAGAAAGTGATTCCTAATGTGAATTAATCATGATGTGGAATACATCACCCCTTACTGAATCCAATATAAGGGAATCTTGTCAATATTGCACTCTGAGATCATGCAACATAGACTGATAAAAACTACCATGAACCAAGACTCTTAAAGATTTATAGTTCATAAGCCCTTCAGGATCAGGATATAGAAAAAAAGAGTATTAAATCCAGATAGCCTTAATAGTTTATTTCCACTGCAGTCATAATGCCACAATGAGAAGCAGGATCAAAAGAGCTGAGTTTGCTCCAACAAAAGAACAGATTGAGACTAGAGATAGCTCTTATAGGCAACTCCTTTCTAGCAAGATCCTGTTCTGATTAGAAAGCTTCTTTTGTTATATAGTAGACCAAGTAGCCCCACAAATATATTTTTAAAAACTTCAAAAGGTAAAATGTCCCCTAGATTTTTTTTACAGAACATATTAACCCCTGCCAGTTCAAACATACCTTTTTGTGGGATAACAGAAGATCAAAAGTGCATATTTTGCTATTTCTCTGCTTTGTCCCAATAACCCCATTTTCTATTTTAATCTTGTTAGCAAGTTATGTGGTAATGTGCATGTATATATGTATATGTACACGGTACATTATGCATGTGTATCCCCTTTGCATGAATACACTCTTAAAAGTTTCAGGGCATCACCTTCTAAAATCTGGAGTGGATTCCTATGAAGAAAAGAAGTAATGTATCAATCCTGAGACTGCTAGCCTTAGAATGATCTGCTTTAAAAATTGATTCGTGGCCAGTGTTTGAGAACTTGGATTTAAAAAGAATTCCCTTCATTTTCAGAACTAATAAAAGTGGCTAACTGTGTCTTAACTGTTTATAGAAACAATGGGGCTTATGCCAAACATCTGCTTTCCTTTGGGGAATTGCTATGAGTGAGAGAATTTGCTCTCATAATCAATCCCCAATAAACACTACTGAGTTTGTAATGAGCTTCCTTTCTAGACATTTCACATATGTTATCACAACTTGTTGCTGGCATAACAGATGATCAAAAAACAATGCATGCTTTGCTCTTTTTCGGCTTTGCCCTGTTAGCCCCAATATTTTATTATGGAAAGAGTTAAGCATGTCCATGTGACTCCACAGGATGAGGGCTCTTGCAAGCTTCTAACAGGTTTAATTACTTTGAGAAATCATAAAAATATGCATTCCCTGGAAACTCGAATATTTACCTTGAGCAATCAGATCTCGTCTCAATAATGGATAAAGAACAGGTTCTACACCATCCATTTCTTGTATAATAAGGGTTTTCCCAAAACGCACAGCCAACTCAAGAGCTGTGATAAAGTTACTATCCTGTGAAAATAAAAAGGAATACATATTAATTTTTTTATTATATCAGTATATACAAAGATCCTTATAGATGATAAATGAATATAGTACTAGAAAAATAAGAACATTTTAATTGTAATTTTAATGTTAATAATTCAAATTACTCAATTATGTTTCTAGTTACAAGTACTTGAATTATTTTAATTGAATAAGTTATCTTAAAATTTTCATCACTTAAATAGAAATATTTCTAAAAAATAAGAATTTTGACCATTTTTTTATTGTTGAAAAAACATCTAAAAGCTCAACAATTTTTAAGTATATATTACAGTGTTGTTAATTATAACAACAATATAGGTAGCAGATCTCTAGAACTTTTTGGTCATCCACATCTGGAACACTATACCCATTGAATATCATCTCTTTACCCCACAATACAAATGTCTTTCTTTAATTTTCTACTATAATTATAAATTTTTTATAGAAATAAATTTCAAATTCTATCTGTAATAAATTATCAGGTATTAATAAGAACTACTTTGCCTATATTCCAAATCAACTATTGAATGGGGAGTTTAAAAAAGAAAAATGATGAATTCCCATAGATATTTCTTAGTGTGACAGGTTTAATAATTAAGTTTAATTTTTAATTAATAAATTATTAATTAAGACTTTTCAACAAGACTCTACAACCAATGAAGAATTTTTAGGCTTTTTAGCTAGCAAAAAAAAAAAAAAAGGAGTTTAAAATATTACTCCATGCCTCCAACAAAGATGGAAAATAAAGTATAATATTTGGGATAATTATTAAGACCTTATACTGCAAACCCCAAATGAGACTAAAGTACAATCATGCACCACATAACATTTCAGTCAACAATGGACCACATATACAATAGTAGTCCCATAAGATTATAACGGAGTGAAAAACTTCCTATTGACTAGTACATCACAGCTGTCATAGCACAATGCTGAGCTGTCAGGCATATTATAAAAGTACAACACATACAATTATATATTAGTATATTATATCAAATAATAATAATAAACAACTTTATGTATATATATATACATATATTATATATATATACTTTATGCTTTAGAGTATATTTTAGAGTACATGAAATATACTTTAGAGTATATTCCTTTTACTTATGTTTTTTATTTATTTATTTTTTTTTTTAATTTTTTTTTTTAATACTTATTTATTAGTTTTCGGCGGACACAACATCTTTGTTTGTATGTGGTGCTGAGGATCGAACCCGGGCCGCACGCACGCCAGGCGAGCGCAATACAGCTTGAGCCACATCCCAGCCCCTTACTTATGTTTTTTAAAATTAACTTATAAAACAGTCACAGGCAGGTGCTTCTGGAGTTATTCTAGAAAAAGATAATGGTATTGATGATTCTGACCTTGTGAAAGCCTAGACTAGTATATTTGTTTGTCTTTACTTTTAACAAAAAAAGTTCACAAATAGTCAACAAATATATGAAAAAATGTTCAATGTTTCTAGCAATTAGAGAAATACAAACTAAAATTATACTGAGATTTCATCTTACTATAGTCAGAATGGCAATTATCAAGAACACAAGGAACAATAAATGTTGGTGAAGATGTGAAGAAAAGTATATACTCATACACTGTTGATGGGACTGCAAACTGGTACAACCACTCTGGAAAGCAGTACAGACAGTCCTCAGAAAAGTAGGAATAGAACCACTATTTGACTCAGTAATCCCATGTCTCGGTATATATCCAGAGGATTTAAAATCAGCACACTAAAGTGACACAGCCACATCAATGTTTATAACAACACAATTCATAATAGCTAAGCCAGGGAGCCAATCTAGGTACCCTTCAACAGATAAATGAATAAAGAAATCGTGCTATATATACACACATGGAGTATTATTACGATGCAATAAAGAATGACTTTATAACATTTGCCAGTAAATGGATGAATCTGGAGACTATCATGCTAGGTGATATAAGCCAGTCCCCAAAAGTCAAAAAGCCAAAGGTTGAATGTTTTCTCTAATATGTAGAAGCTAACCCACAATAAGTGTAGGGAGGGGGCAACAGAAGATTAGTGGGTTAGAAAAAGGGAGATGAAGGGAAGGTAGAAAGGATAAGAAAGGGAAAGTCAGTGAAATGAATCTGACATAACTTACCAATGCGCATATATGAATACACAATGGTGAATCTGATATCATGTACATCCACAAGAAATTAATTTAAACAAATAATAATGACAGGTAAATGGCAGAAAGATCATTAGATGGAAGGGAGCAGGAGGAAGAGAAAAGAAAAGAGGAGAGATACAGGGTCTAAAATAGAATAAAACATATCCCATACTTATATAATTATGTCAAAAGGGAACTAGTGTTCTGTATAACTAAAAAGAACCAGTATTTTTTAAAGTTAAAAAAATTAATTTAAAAATAGGTAAATTCTTATAAAATAAAGATATATAAAAATAAAATATGTATAGTTATATGTGTTTTAAGCTAAAGTTTATAAGGTAAAAAGGGCAAACTAAGGTTAACATTATTGATAAAAGAAAATTTTTGTGAATTTGGTATAATTTAAATATACAGTGTTAATCAATTCTCCAGATGTATACAATAATGAACTAAGCTTTCACATTCACAACACTCACTCACTGACTCAGCTAGAGCAACTTTTAGTCCTGCTGACTCCATTCATAGTAAGTGCCTACCTACACAGAGATACAATTTATTTTTATATTTTATACCACATTCTATGTACCTTTTCTATATTTAGTTGTGTTTACCATTGTGTTACCAGTTACCTACAATATTTAGTACAGTAATATGCTGTACATGTTTGTAGCACAGCAGCAATAGGCTACATTACATAGCCCATGTGGGTAGTAGGCCATATGACCTGGGCTTGTGAAAGCACACTCTATGATATTCATACAATGGCAAAATTGCCCAACACATTTCTTAGAATATATCACCCTGATTATGCAATACATGATTATATTTTATATATTATCTAATTTTCAATTATTTTTACTACAAACAAATGAGATAGAAACCCCATTTATAAAAGTAAGGTAAGTTTTAAAAATAACTTTTCAAATACAAGAGAATATCTATAAAAGCAAGTCATACAGGGGTGGGGTTTTGGCTCAGTGGTAGAGTGCTTGCCTAGCATGCATGAGGCACTGGGTTCAATCCGCAGCACCACATAAATGTAAAATAAAGATATTGTGTCCACCTAAAACTTAAGAATAATTTTTTTTTAAAGTAAGTCATACAACTAGGGCTTCCAAAAATGAAATTTAAAAATAACCAAATATAATTTTCTTAGCAAGATAAATATGACAGTACGAAATCACTATTAAAAAAGACTATGATTACATTTTACTGACCAAAATGTCAAATATTGGGACATATTAAATATTCTTCTTGGTATGTTATAGGAATAGGAAATTGTGAGAGACATTCAAGAAAACTACAAATGTGCTGAAGACCAGGAGAATTTTCTGATTCTCTAAGCTAAATTAGTTATATTTGTGCCATTAATCATAACTTAGAGAAAATATTTGTTTCTCTAACCTACTACAGCATCCTCTTCATAAGAACAGAAAGTGTGACTACTTTACTCACTATGAAATTCCCAAATAATAAGCACCAAATAAATATTCTCATCACTTTTTACAAATTACAAAACTGAAGCTAAGTGAGTTATATTTCTTTCCCCAAATCCAACTCCAGGTAAATTATAGGCCACAGTCTTGGATCTGTTTTCTAATTATACACCCAGAATTATTTTCACTATAAGATGTTATTCTTAGTTAGCATCTGAATAATAAGTAATACATACCTGTTGATTAATAACCTCCAAATGTGAGTCCTTCAAATGTGTTTTTAACCATTCTGTAGCTTGGGATGAAGGATCTATAAGAAATGGACATACTCGACTCTAGATTGAAAAGAAGAAGAATGTTAATTAAATGAGTATGGTTTGATTTAATGAAAATAAATGCCTAAAAATTATGAAACAATTTCTAAATGAGCTGACTTTGGAGGATGCAACTGTACAACCAGAAGGAATAAATACAGGTACAGTACATATCAGTACTGGAAAACCAAATTAATAAATTTTCAATGAAATAATATTAAGTAATTAAACTGTGCATAGTCCCATTTGTTACACAATAACTCAAAGTGTATGTTAACAATATGCTAAGCAAGAGTTTTATTCCCATGCTGATGCTATTTGCACTATTTGTTCTGGTTTTTAAAATGCATAATCAAGGTATTCCCTAACTTTATACATCTTCTGGGTGAATAAACCACAAAGGCCTTATAAAAGACCCATGAGCTAATCATAAAAATACTGCTGAAATAATTTTAACATAGTTATTTACATTTTAAGACACTGATTCTTCTAAAGCAGTAAATATCTACCATAAAACCTTATCTTAGAAATGAAAATTAGACTTTATATGCTTAAATCTAATGAACTAGAAACTAAAGTCATTACAGAATGTCCTGCACTAGTTAATCTCTAAAACAAACAGGAGTTTAGAACCCAGTGAAGACATCTTACACACAATGGCTCTTAGAGATGATAGGAAGCCAATTATATGTATAAAAAAATGTATACCTCCTAGCACCAAATAAATATGCAATAACTCTAGAAGTCATCTAATAATTACCACTACCTACTAAATCAGATTTAAATGAATGAACTATTTTTTGTTAAATTTTCACTTATTTGAAAAAAATGTAATTGTACATTATAGGGATAAGAAAACACATGTGAAAGAGTAGAATAAAAACTTAGGACTGAGGTGTAGCAATCTCATAAAAACACTTGTTATTTCAGTGGCATATCAAGAAGGAAGGCAACAGTAGGAATAATTTGCCTTGTAGACTAATAGCTTTTTATCACCAACACCATTTAGAATTCCTAGCACATGGTCATAATGAAAACATACCTGGCTTTAAAACACCTTTATTACAGTAATTAAATTCTCCACAAAGAACTTGTTTTTATTTGCAACCAGATTAGAATATTCCCCCCTTGCCATGTTACATCACTGTATGATCATTACCCAGAATCTATTTCTATAGATTTCTCTTAACTGTTCCATCAAATAAATGAACTATTCCTAGAAAAATGATGTGGTTAGTAATTAGGTTCTTAGTATTACTATGGGTTTGGGGTCTACTTTTATGGTGGCATTCAATAATAAACATTTCACAATTCTATGAGATTTTGCTTAACCCTGACAGTATGATTTTAAAATTTGAAGGAGTTTTCTTACCCATGATTTCAAACCAATGATCTGATGCAGTTGAAAAAAAAAAAAGAAAATGGTAATGTTTCAAAATCTATTTTTAGCAAAGGAAATATGTTTAACAAATTTAAAGGGTACTTACAAGTTTTTGTTCATCGCATTTATACTTTTACACAGAGATTTAGAGAAAATTTCTAAGGTACATTTTATCTGTGTTGCATGATGAAATGTAGTTAAATTATATAATTAACAACTTATAATAGATCAAAAATGTTGAGCTTTCATTCATTTATTCATCTACCTTAGAATCTACAGTAACACAAAGTTCAAAGGATACAGAAATTAATAAGATATATTCCCTTGACTTCAGTGACTTGACATCCAATAAAGAAGCAAAAATAAAAAACCCATCATTCAGAAGTATACAAAATGCTACAGAAGAATGATATATGGAGATAGGGCAGAGACTAGGAAACAATTCAAATCAATCAAAGCCAAGAAAAATTAGGAAGGCAAAGAAGAAAAAAAATCATTTTGGATAAAAAAAATACCATGATGAAAAGAATAATAACAAAGTTCGGAGTTCCTGGAAAAATTCCAGTAGTCTGACACAGCTTGATTAAGAAAAATGTGGGCAAAGATGATATATTAAAATGGCAGAAGTAGGGACTTGGGTTGTGGCTCAGCGGTAGAGCACTTGCTGAGCACGTGCAAAGCCCTGGGTTTGATCCTCAGCACCACATAAAAATAAATTAATTAATTAAATAAGGGTATTTTATTGTGTCATTGTGTCAACTACAACTAAAAAAATATTTTTTAAGAAAATGGCATAAGTAATCTGGCATCTGTGTGATCATGAAGACCTTTTTATACCATGTCTAAAGATGGTGAAAATTTCATACTGCAGGCAATGGGAAGTCAATGAAATATATTAATTGAAATAATATTACTTGATTTGTTTTTGAAGGATCCCTTCAACAACTATAAAGAAGTGACTCAGGGCAAGGAATCAGATAGTATAATAATGTATTTATCCAGATACAAATTGATGAAAGTATAAATGAAGCCACTGGTAGTGGATATGGTTAAAACAGGATGCATTCTTGAGATATCTGAAAAATATATTTGACAAGACAAGATGAATAATAAACTGAAAGAAAAAGAGACAGTGGGAATGACTCCCAGCTTATAGTTTGCACTACTGGGCCAAGATTACAATATTGTCAATGATGGGAAATAAGGAAAACCAATGATAAAAAATTAAAAACAAAAAGATTTTTATAGTGAAGAGCTACCTATGCTGTCCTGCATGCCCCACTTAACATATTTCTGATGAGGTTATCAATCACCTAACCCTGTATCCACGGAATGAGTAGGTATCCCATACTAATCAGAATCCTTTCATAAGCTTGACATACATGCTTGGAGTAAAGGCGGAAGGAGGATGTGGCACATCCTTAATCTAGAAACAAAAACTCTGATAATGGAAAACATGGAGACACCAAAAACTATTGCTAATGAAGGGTAAAGAGAACCTATCTGAGAATAAATCCATCTGTCAAGATGAAGAAAGAAATGTCCTATTAATACCTTCTGAATTCTGAAGCTAGCCCCAAATTTCTGCACATCTCAATTATTTAAAAGCATAAATAGTTTTTTATATGGGCTGTAATGGGTCACAGAAAGATTCTCAATTAAAAAAAAAAAACAGCAAATTCAATTAAAGGCAGATAAAGCTTGAGCTTCCTAGATAAAAATATTCTACAGTAGTTGGAACTATAGAGGTCAGGAACTCAGAAGAAAGATTCAAGACTAGAAATACATATCTATTTAAATTCTTCCTTCCTTGGTTAGGAGGGAATATTGGGCAAGGGACATTTTTGAAAGTGATGACTCTTAAAACATTTAGGACATTTTATAATTTTACTTTTATTTTTAATACATTAAATGGAATAAAAGCAAAAAAAACTTTACAAATAAAATTAAAGCCTATTATCTCTTTATTACCTAAGGAGAGTTACATTAACAAGAATAACACAAAATAATTAAGTTAAGGTCATTCATGTACATGCGCGTGCATACACACACTCCTATAGGAGGCAGTTTTAGAGTACTAACTGGTGCTAGTTAGCTTGTGTTTGAATCCTGGCTCAACTACTTGACAGCAATGGACAAAAGATCAACTCTTCTGTGCCACAATTTCCTTATCTATAAAAAGGGCTACATATGCACCTACTAGATTGAGTTGATGTCAGAATTTTGAGTATTTGCTTTACCTATGTTAATTCTTAAACAATAATATATGCACACATAGTAATTACTAGATAAGTGATGATGATGATGATGATGATTTATTGGGGAAGTAAAGAATTTCCCCTTTATGATTTAACTTTATAATTCTTTGTTTTTAGACATACAATATCAAATTAGTTAGCATTTCCTAGACATATACCAAGTAGCAGAAAGGAAAAAAATCTCAGAAACTTTGAGTTGTTGAAAGAAAACCAATTAGATACCAAACTTTTCATAAACAATAAACATAAATATCCAATAGATGTCTTCACAAGAAAAAATTATATAAAATCTGAAATTTATACTTATCCTCTTTTCCATCTCCTTTTAGAATGCTTTTCACTCACACCTTCTCTATTGTTTCTAACATCTTTATATTATCCATTATTCATGGAGTTCCCAACGTTAAAAAGATTATTTATCACCCGTACCAGGTTTATTAATATAAACCATAGCCCAAGCAATCCACAAGGGATGATCACATTAGCCAAATGTTTCTCTGCTCCTCAAAGACATGTTATGTAAGCTTTTTCCTAACATAAACCTAACTCTTGTTACAAGGTCAAGGATAAATAAAATTTGACTATTTCCTCTCTCAGAGAATACATGCACTTCAACAGTTAAGACAAGCCAAATATGAGAACTTCAAGCATTTATGTTAAGACCAGTAAAGAAATAATTCTGGACACAAAAGGTTTTTCTTTTTCCTAACATCTAAAATTTTTTTGAGTAACTACAAGACTTGAATCTGAATAGTCTCCAATGAGAGAGAAAATCTCAGAAAAGTTGTTGTACACTTGAAGAAATTTTATAAACCTCAGAATCAAAAATACATGTTATTTATCATGATTAGCCATCTTTCCTCAGGAGTCTTCACAGATGCACATGTAGTATATATTTAGAGATTTAATTTCATATACATTCATAGTATTTTAATGATTAGATGTTATAAACATGTACTATCCAATCACACCCTTAACTATAATGACTTATTTTGAATTTAGTCTACCTAAGAATTGAAATAGAATGTTGACAATAATGGAAAATTCATTCAACAAAATCACTAATTACCATACCCCCCAACACTTTTACAAATAATTTTTATTTTGTTAAATAATTGCAAATAAATAACTAAAAGGAACTCATCAATATTAAATATAAAGTAAATATAAGCTTCTTATTAAAACTAACTTTAAAATCAATTTGCACATATTCATTATGAAAGACAACTCAGAAAACAAAATTAAGTATTTTCCATTGGTATCAGGAAAAAATAAAAATTACTATAATAAATACATGTTTTCTGAAGACTTACTTCTCCTGGTTACTTGTGGAATAAAAAGAGAATTCTTAAACTAGAATTATATTTTTTTAACTTTTTTTTTTCTTTAATGTGGTGCTGAGGATCGAACCCAATGCCTCACACATGCTAGGCAAGCGCTCTACTGCAAAGACAAAACGCCAGCCCCAAACTAGAACTTTTTTGAAAATCTGCAATTACATTCTTGAAACATTTACTGAAACAAGAAGAGGTGATTGCCAAACCTTGGGGAGAAGCAATAACAAATCTGAAAAAAGCATACAGTTTGCAATGATGCAATGAACTTATTTACAAACACATTTAGAGTTTCAGATTTGTGGTTCCAATGGAAAAGCAATGATAAAAATTGTTTAAAAAAATAAATCAAAGAATTACCAAAATCAAATTAAAATAAGGGGAAAGTATTTAATTTGTGGTAGCAACTTCTCTTCTGTTAGGACACCGATGCAATGAACCAAACTACAATCAGATGATTAACAGGCCTAATAAAACCAAACACATTATCCCAGAATAAATAAGGCCCAAAATATGAATCTTATAAACAGTTTATGCTACCTAAAGAGGATCATTATTCAATTCTCATGCTTTCTCTGAGACAATGAAATTACAGAATAAGGAAATGGTGTCTGGGCAGGGAGAAGGGTTACAGAGAGGAAATACAACACTAGTAATGTAAAATATAGGCTATTGAGGGCTGGGGATATAGCTCAGTTAGTGGAGTGCTTGCCTTGCATGCACAAGTCCCTGGCTTCAATCCCCAGCACCAAAAAATATATTTATTTATCTATCTATTTATTTATTTATTTATTTTTCTGGACACAAAAGGTTTTTCTTTTTCAATGGAGATATATATATATGGAGAGAGAGAGAGAGAGAGAGAGAGAGAGAGAGAGAGAGAGAGAGAATAGGAAAAAATTCACATTATCAAGGAAGAAAAATTACCTTGCAAATTGCATGTCAGAAAGGAAAATCAAGTTAATTGTTAAAATCAAACTATTCAAAGTAATGATTTTTATCTGTGTACAAGCCTTTGAATTTAGTTTTCACATTCACTGCCAAAAAGGTTGTAATATTTTCAACTTTAAGAAAACATTGACAAAGAACAATTTTCAAAATATACATATGGTCATCTCCAACTTAAAATCCAAAGCTTAAATTCACTTTGCAACATAAAATAAAATTAAAATGTAAAATTTATAAAGTCATATACTCTAAATGAAGTAAGTAAACAACCAAATGAACCAGTTATCTCTATAGCATTTCTATTACTAGTAGAAACTTCTATTTAGAATATTTTGGAATAAAAATGCCACTTTAGTTTATACTCTTATATTTAGTTTATACTCTTATATTAAGGTAAAAAATAAATTATATTGAGAAGTATACATTCACTAACAAAATAAGTAAATTTTCATTAACAAAATATTTTCACTTTTACATGACTAAGAAAACAATAACAGCAAAAACCTAAGAATGTAAAGAATTCCTCTAGCAAGCCTCCAAAAAAAACATTTCTGAGAAAATTAAAGCAAATTAATTACCTGTAATATAACAAGAGCATTTTCTATGGAAAGGTCATCAGATGGTAGGCCTTCACTTTTCCAAATTAACTGTTCACTTTCAGTACAAAGAAATCTCCTCAGATCAAATTCTGAAAAGTTAAAGATACCAAGAATACTTCATTACAATAATCTTGCACTTGATAAAGGAAAGAAAATAAAACTATTTAAAATATACTGAAACAAGGCAGGGTGCAGTGGCAGACACCTGTAATTCCAGAGGCTTGGGAGGCTGAGGCAGGAGGATCACGAGTTCAAAGCCAGCCTCAGCAAAAGCAAGGCACTAAGCAACTCAGTGAGACCCTGTCTCTAAAATAAAATACAAAATAGGGCTGGTGATTTGGCCTTGTAGTTGAGTGCCCCTGAGCTGGATCCCAGGTATCCAAAAATAAACTAAAATATACTGAAGCAAAAGCTCCATGACAACCTTTAATTTGAAAACCATTCATCTACTTTTAGCACTCAAATATAAGAATAAAGAAGTTAAAAAAAGGTTCAAAGGAATAGAACTTTAGTTAACTCATATTTCTTCAGAGTGAATGTTTTACAATCATAAGTAATTTTGTGCAAACCACAAAATGCACAAGAAACGTTAGAGTTCCTATATTTCACCTTATTACATAAAATTATTGTAAAGATAAAATGTTTAGTTGAATTCATGCAATATCAAAAATCCTTTAGTGGTCTGTTATTTATAGTGATTTAGGAATAGAAGATGCAATAACAAAATGATTCCCAAAACTTTTGTGAAATTTGGCAAATCTATAGTCTGGTATCCTTACAACTTACAGAAGAGTTTAAACACTGAAGTAAAGCAAATTAGCTAGGCACAGCGGCAAATACCTGTAATTCCAGCAACTTGGGAGGCTGAAGTAGGATAATAAATAAGAGGCCAGCCTCAGCAATTTAGGGAGACACTGTCTCAAGATGAAAAATAAAAAGGACTGGGAATTTAGCTCAGTGGTTAAGCCTCTGGGTTCAATCTCCAGTACAGATAAATAAATAACAAAACAAAAGAGTGAAATAAAGGTCAAATGTGCATTTTTAGAATATTGAAATTTCAAAATCACAAATAACTAAAAACAAACTTTCAAGACCAGCTGACTTGGTCCATTCTTCCAAACAGGTTTTTCTGAGACTCTCAGGAGCAGCAGAAAGATATGTAATAAAAGCAGCAGATAGTTGAGCTCGTTTTGGAAGAGTAGCTAATTGCTCTGTTATCTCTGCAACCTGGAAAAAGAGATAAAGAGATATAAATGGATATGTCCTATCACAGAAAAAAATTACAGCTTCATGGAATTTTGTTTATTTGGCCCTGTAGTTGAGTGCCCCTGAGTTCGATCCCAGGTATCCAAAAATAAACTAAAATATACTGAAGCAAAAGTTCTATGACAACCTTTAATTTGAAAATCATTCATGGAAAAAATCACATATTTCTTTAAGTAATAATCCCTTATCTATTTGAATACACCAGTCAAATTTTTAAAATAACAATAAGACCACAGACCTTGCTGTGGTTTTGTATGAAATCCTAATGTATTTGTAGAAATAAACACATATTTTGTCATTGAAAGTTACTAATTATCATAATGAATAATGAGCTTTCATCCTTACCATAGCTGAATAGCATGAATTTGTATCACTTTATAAAATAACATTAAAATACACTGATGAACAAAGGTACGTAACAAATTTAATGAATCAAGACTCATTATTGTAATCTTTAGTACAGATGAAGCACAAGACAGAGCAGAAAGGACAGTGATACAGAAGGAATGAAAGAGAGGGGCAGAGTTGGTTGGAGGCCAATTATGAAAGGTTTTTCCATGCAATGCAAAGGATTTTCTCTTTTAACATTTTTAAACAAATCCCCTTTCTATTAACACTTTTAATAAAAAGGGATTTAAGAGGCAGCAAATAATGTAATGAGATGAGTTTTAAAAATATATTTCAGCCAACAAATAAAGGATGGACTAATTAAAAGGTTAGATAAGAGAGAGACAAGTTAGGAAAATCCAGATGAGAAAACAAAAAGATTGGCATTAAAGATGGAAGGCAAATACGAAGAATATTGCAAATTGATATGACAATTAAACAAGGAAACATTTAAGACAGCCCACATTTATAGTTTTGATGCATAGAAGAAACACAACTTCAATAAATTATGAACTGAAAGAGATATGGAATTAGAAAAAAATAAGTTACTTTAGACATGTTGGGTGGGTTCCTAAGAGACAAAAGTAATGCAATTATTTAAAGTATAGTTGGAAATATTAATTTTAAGCTCTGTATATCCTAGAAGTATAGCTTTGGACATCACTGTGGTATAGATGACATTAACCCTGAATGAGAGAATCCCAGTTCCATTTCAGAAAAAAGAGTTAACAAGGAGAATACTGAAGATAATCAATATTATTGAATGAGAAAATGAGAAGTATCAGGTGAGAGAAGAAATCTGGTTATAAAGTTAAAAAGAAAATGTGAGACAAGACTAATAAAGCAAAAATAATAGAATATTTCAGGAAGAAATAAATGGCCAACAATATTGAACCCTAAAATTATTGTCCTGGTAAAGGTAAATTCAAAAAAGTCTCTAAAGAGAACTAAGTTTTAGATCATTTTCATTCCTGTCCTTCCCCTCAGCACCAGGTAATAAAAAGAGGATTTGCTTTCTTTCCTAAAAATCCATTCTCATAAAGATATTTTGCAATAAGATTAATTCACTTAGTTACCATGTGTATGTAGATCATTTGTCCAAAGCCAGATGCAAGTTAATGGATATTTGTCTTTCACTTTTTTAACAAATACATAAAATAACATCATAAGTTTCCTGAGTCTTTAGACTCTATGATTCTTCTCTGTAAACAAACCTGGGCATTCCATCTCTTGTGTTCTCTATCAAGCTGATTAATTAAGACTTCTGCAGCTTTGATTGTTTCCTGTGCTTTGCTAACTTCAGCTTCAAGTTTGGCAGCTTCGGAAGTCCTGCTCTGAAATCTAAGAAAACATTTAATTAAAAACAAAAAGAATTTAAGAGATACTTAATGAAATTATCCATGGATAATTAAGTACATATTTATGCCAGAATTTAATGATAATATGGCCATAATTGTATAAAATTATCATTAATAAAACATATATACCAACACATATATTTAAAATCTATCATTCTCTACTTCAAAAAGCTGGACAGGTACTCCATAACCTTCTGTATTTATGTACATGTTTCTTAGTATGGCATTCAAGACCCTGTACAAAGACTGATCCAATCTATCTTTCTGGGTTTATTACTTGCTATTTCAGTTCCCCCAAAGTATACAGCAATATCTGAAAAAAATCAACAATATCAGAAAATGCCCTATTCTTTATCTCATGTGTTCCTCTCAGGATGTTTCATTTGTCTAGAATATCTTCCAACCACTCCCTTTATCCCCTCAGTCAAATACTCTTTAACATATACCTATCAAAAATAAAAGTACAATTTCAAAATTCACCTCAAATATCTAATACATTATATATAATCTCACCCTCAGTGCCGATTTGCCAAAGTTTATAACTCTCTTTTTAAATTGTTTTCCTTGAAAATGGTTGTACAAACATGTGCCTACAATATGCCCAGGATTGTATCAAACATTTTTTTTTAAAAGAGGGGGGGGGAGAGAATTTTTTAATATTTATTTTTTAGTTTTTGGTGGACACAACATCTTTATTTTATTTTTATGTGGTGCTGAGAATCAAACCCAGTGTCCTGCGTATGCCAGGCGAGCATGCTACCACTTGTGCCACATCCCCAGCCCTGTATCAAACATTTTTTAAAAACATTTCATTCTTACAACAACAGTTCAAAATATTTCATGTTACACATATATAAATTTAGACCATAAGAGATTACTGCACAAAGATTCACCAATCATCAGTAGAGGATCTAAAATTTATATACAAATGTGCCGGATATTAAGTTCCATGAATTTTATGGTACATTCCACTGCCTTCCTATCCTCTATGTTCTTCACCTAGACATAAGACTCTAGAAATGAGCTGTTCAATAAGTTACCACTAAAACACATCACAAATACTCTATAGCCACATATGGCTATTTGCTACCATACTGGACAGAGTATATTACAGAATACTTCCATCATCTCATAAAGTTCCATTGGATGGTGCTGCTTTTCAGAAGTTGGCAACAGAAAACCATATCTTTATTCACTGCATGTTATTATACATCTTATTCTTTGTTAGTATATAATAAAATAGGTGTCACAGCCTAGAGTAACAACAGCATGGTGATAAGTAACATAATGGTGATTACCATTGTAATCCATTCTTAATTAATGATTATATAATGGAAAATGCCATTCTGCTTCACTTAAAATTCTCAGCATTATTTTAAAGAATAAAGAGATAAATATAAAGTGTTTAGTATAAGACCTGAACCAGTAAGTGACTAATAAATGGATTTGAAACATTGCTACAAGGCAGACCTGCGACCGACCGGAAGAACAGGCCCAGCGGCCTGCTGGCGTGGTAGACACGTCACCCCAATTGGAGGAGGGGAAGAGCAGAGCCGCCGCCCGCGCCTGCAAGGTAGGCAGACCTGCGACTGACCAGCAGAACAGGCCCCGCGGCCCGCCGGCGTGGTAGACACATCACCCCAATTGGAGGAGGGGCAGAGCTGCCGCCTGCGCCTGCAAGGTAGACAGACCTGCAACCTAGAGAACAGGCCCAGCGGCCCACCAGCGTGGTAGACAGATAACCCCTATTGGAGGAGGGGCCCAGCCGTTGCCCGCAAGTTAGGCAGACCACGCGACCTGGAGAAGGGGCCCAGCGGCCCGCCGGCGTGATAGACAGATCGCCCCAATTGGAGGAGGAGCACAGCCGCCGTCCGGCCCTGCAAGGGAGACTTTGCAACTATACAAG